TTGTGCCACCAGGGAGGGCCAATATGAGGCGCTTTTAAGGGGCAATGTAAATTCAGAAAAGCCCATTGGCGCTGGGGTTAAAGTCTCATCTCTATCAAGGTATTGCCAGCCACCCACATGGGGCAGCAGACCTCTCCTGTCTCACCACTGCTCCTCTCAGCAATGCATTTCAGTAGATCTGCCTGTTATGCTCCCCTCTCTGCCTCTGGTGAGTCCTCTCACCCTCCCCTCCCATGCCTCTAGCCTATACCGCAGAGCTTTATGCATAAATAAATAAAAATAAATCTTTAAAAAAATCAGGAATGATATGACACAATAGTTTCAAATATGCTGCAGAGCAGGAAGGAGTTGGGATAGGAAAGCAAACAATATAAACAAACCTTGGGGGTAGGGCTCTGTCAAGGTTTTGTGATGTTCGTTTTGTGATGCTTATAAGGAGAGAGACTGTGAGGAAGCCAGGGGTTCCCCTGAGAGGACTGCCAGAAATAGTTTCAGCTGTCCAATGGCTGCCTACTGCATGGGTAGCTGCCTGCACAGCGCAGCAGTAACAGCAACTGTGGTCTACAGACCTCCCACCTCACGGCGAGGATGAACAAGCCCCGGATGTGAGCGTGCCTTGGCAAGCCGGAATAGTGGTGCAATGGCAAGTCTCAGTCCTGAGCAAGGAACAGGGAAGTCCGATTCCAGGCCCGCAGAGGCTCCTGCTCCAGCATCACTGCTGCCATCCCCTCGGCGCCCGCGTCTCACCAGCTGTATTATTATTAGGGCACCCAGAGCTGACCTCCTGACTTGACAGCGTCTGTCTGAGTGGCCCCTTCGCCCGTCACACTTTGACGTCACCGTACAGACTCCTATGGCATCTATATTCACGTTCTTCAGGCCCACAGATTTACAATGTCCCGAGATTCAAATGACCAGTCATTCCGGAGGGGTGATGCCAAAATGCCAGGGGGCTCACTTGGGCCCCGCCCATGCTGAGCATCACATACCACCCAGAACCTGGCCAGTGGGAGGGGCTGCCACCCAGCCTGGGCTCCCCGGCGGGGCCTGCTGCGGTTAAACCTTTCTTTGAGTTCCAGGTATTCTGACAAGCAGTCTGGCTCCGTTTCAATGTAATGGCTGTGGGGTTTGGGGGTGGGATGGGGGTGGGGTGTGTGTGTGGGGGGGGGAATTATGTCTAACTCTCCCAGATCACAAAATCGATGTAGTCAATGCATAAGTCCTGGACTAGCAGGTTTTCTATTCCTTAAAGAGTACAAATGCTACAAGAGGAGAGCGTTTTAAAAGAAAGTGTTTTCTTCCTTAATTTATTTAGGAATAATTCTCAACTAATTTTTTAGCACAGAGTGGGGTATTTCCGGGGTTCTCTAAGGGATGGTCTGGGAGTTATATGGAGACACAAAAGTATTTTTTTGCTGAAGTCGTTTTTGTCAGGTAAGTGGTGCACCAAATTGGGGTGTTTTGAAGCACAGATGTTCTCTTAAATTTGTCAGACTGATGGCACACAGGTGATTTGGTGATGGGAAGCCCACGGGAATTACAACTGAGATAGAAAAATGCACAAAATGATGTAAAAATAAGCTATTATATTATTTTAAAAAATTGTCACAGACATTTCCAGATGGTCTTACTTCTGTAACTGAGGCTTCAAACACTGGGGTAAGGTTTTTGAGCTTTCTCCTGGAAGAAGCTGTGTTCCAGTGGAGTTTTGCACAGGGGCTAACCGGTGACCACCAGCATAAGCAGGAGGTTAGAATGGTGTCCTACTCAGTCTCTCCTGACCAGCTGTCCTCCCAAAGAACATCCCTGCAACAGAATCCTATCCTTGTCACATACACATTTCCTCCCTCTCAAATTCTTCAGTAGTACAACTTATAAACTTTTATCTTAAAAACATGTTTCATCTCCATGCCTTCTCATCTCCCATATGCTTTTTTACAAAGTAATATTTAAGGACAGGACATAGCATCCCCTCTAAATACACGTTCAGTTGCATGCCATTAATTTTGATATTTGGTATTTTCATTATATGGAAATTCCATATTTTTTCCAATTTCAATTATGATTTATTCCCTTACCCATGATTTATTAAATTTTATTTTGGTTTACAGCACTGTATAATCCAGAGCTATAGGCTCACACCTTCCCCAATGTATTACTATACTCCACCACCCACAGAGCAGTCATCTCCTTTCATCAAATACCATTGAGTCCCCTTTCCACTTTGTTCCTATCCTCTTCCTTCTCCTTGAGTAGCCTGAATACTGCAGTCATGATTTATTTAGAAACATGTTTTAATAATTATTTTGTTTCTGATTTCTATTTAATGATAAATTTAATAGAAATAGATCTATGATATTGATTCTTTAAAAATAGTTGAAACTGGCTTATTGACATAGTGTAAGATCCTGTATCATATAATGTCTGAAAAGTAAGTGTATTTGCCAGTGGAATTCAAGGCTTAATAAGTGCTCACTAGATCAAGCTTGTTACTTATATTTAAAACCATAAAAATTCGACGAGTTTTTTTTTCATATGTTACTAAAAGAAATATGTTGAAATCATGACCACAGCAGAGCATTTGTCAATTTCCTCCTTTAACTCTGTCATCTCTTGATTTGCATTTTTCAATGTTATGTTAGTAGACACATGAACAAATTTAGAATTGGTCTGTCTTCTGGTGTGAGGCTCTTTTTTATTATAATGTATTAACCTTTTTTGTCCCTAGAAAAGGTTTTTACACTTTACAGGCTAGCTTCTTTAATATTGGTTTGTATTTGTGTTGTGTATATTTTCTCATTCCTAAGTTCCATATTTTTTCTCAGTTCCTTGGATATATTATTCACACATAGCTCTATTTTCAAAACCTAATATTTCAATCACCTTTTAACTATCCAGCAAGCATATATGTGATCACTGATTCTATTTGGTTTCCATCTACTACCATATTTTATTCTTTTTGAGTTTCCTTTCTTTTTTCATAGAAAGTTCCCTTTTGTGATGAACTCACCTACAGTTTGTTTAGCAGCATATGTTTAAAGGAAGTTCTTTCTTTAGCCAGTGTTTCTGTCACAGCATTCTGAGAACTAAAGAGTCTAATAATTTTACAATAAAATGTTTCTTTATTCTGTTCACTGAAGTCTGGTTGCCTCTGCTCCCTCACTGAAATCACCCCGGCACAAATACCCAGGGGCCTCTGCCTTGCCAAATTCAAGGCTCTTGTTTTCCTTTCTTTCTTTTTTACAACTTAATTTTTTTACAACTTTATTGAGGTATAATTGACATAAAACAAGTCATACATATTTCAAGTCTGTAATTAAAATTTTTACATGCCTCTGTGACACCATGACCATAATCAAGATAATGAATAGTTCCCTTGCTTCCAAAAGTT